ATTTCTGTATCAACTACCAAGCCTCCTGTGTATTATTGTTTCCTAAGCATCATTGAGGGGGCACTTGTTCTAAATACAGAGCCTGAAATAACGGCCAGCGGTCGGCGGCTTTCCGACCAAATTCCAGTTTTTCCGACCAAATGCTGAAATGATCGGAAGTTTCGTCCGGACAAATGTTGAAAAAAAATGATAATCTGTTTTTTTTAATTATCGGGTCGGCGCTCAGCACAGTGAGTGCAGTATCTATAGTCTTAGATTATCTATACTAGTCTTATATAGAGTAATCAAATGGAAAGTTATCAAAGTTTCTTCGATCAGAGTATGCTTTAAACAAAGTTTAGTTAACTTAAATGTGTGACAGTGCATGAGTTACGAGTCAGAGTGACTGCTTTCATTGTTGTTAATTTGACGACCTGGAAGATAAAGAATGCGTTTCTTCGACGTTTCAAGCAAAGGCCCTTCATCAGGACAGTTAAATAGGCTGTTTATTACAAGTAGAGTGATTTACTGCATGCTTGACATAATTTACTCAACGGAGGCGATCAAACTAAACTAAAAAATTTCCAACCAAATTTGAAAATTTCCGGTCAAATTTCATTTTGCTTGGAAGTTTTGCCGGACAAATTTAAAAATTATTTCGGGCTCTGTAAATATATGCAATAAGTCTGGTTACCATTAAAAAATGTCCATATTCAGAGTTACCGTTGTACTATATTTTATTAAAATACTGCAGAAATGCAATATATTTCATGATTTTAAGAAATTGAATGAGGGCTGCATGGTTAAAAGAGGAGGGGGGCTTATTTATTTTTGTATCCAAATGAGGAGGGGGGCTTTTTGATTTTTGTATCCAAATGAGGGAGGGGGGTTATTGGAGAGGGGCTTGAAGAGAAGGGGGCTAAATATAGAAATTACAGTACCTCCATTCCTACCTCTCCCTTCCCAAACATGCTGCAGGAAGGGGCAACTGCAGGGGTTAAAGCCTGGATTGCAAGGTTGATGTATAATTTGCATGTTATGTACCTGGTAATATGGAGAAATGAGCTAGTAAATATATCCTTGCCTATAATTAGTTGCTGATTAAATGTTCAAAGATACACAGTGTGAAGCATGAAAAACAAATGGAAGATACCCACTGCAAGAAATTTTCAACAAATATAGATGGATTTGTTCACTTCATTTCTTACTTTTGACACAAGTAATTATGGTAATTATAATTACAAACACAATGTACTGTCATTTAAAGACTTTATATGTGCTCCATCTATATGTGTTAATGTAATATAATATAAAAAATAATGTGTTTATTGTTAAAATATGGGATATATAATACCGTAAACCTCTGACTATAAGCCCTGGGCTTATATTCTTTTGTAAGTGATTTCTGATGGGCTTAGGGGGGGGCTTATATGCACGGGGGCCTTATACATGGACGATCAATTGTGTTAGTAATAAACAAGTCAGTCATAAACAGGAAAATAAACATGTATTAATAACACACTCCATTAACATAGTAAGCTATAAAGACAATGACATGAGTGTTTCAAATATCGTTCTCTGTTATATTAAAAGACAATGTCAATGTTAAATAACATAGTGGGATACTGGGCTTATATTCAGGGGGCTTATATTCAGGGGACTTATATTCAGGGGAGCTTATATTGAGAGGGGGGGCTTATATTTGGAATGAGATGAGTATTATATTCAGAGGTTTACAGTATACAGTTCAAAAAAGCTTGTATTTTCTTGTCACAGACACAGATTTCTGGGTGCATATAGAACAGCTTATACGTCAGGTTCTCATGTGGATCCAATGGTAATTTGATATCGCTGCATCACCATAATATAGCAGAATGGCCTTGTATCATACTTTAACATCATGCATGCGCCTTGGTCATTCATGTGGAGATATTACTATCACGATAGAATTAGTTACGCCAAGTAACACGTCGTACACGTCAGGTAGCAGCTGAAATATTTTAATATTTGCCATAATAAGCCCATAACCTGTTGGAAAACAACCAAAACATCTTCACCATTTTACATTATGGCCGAGATACATTTGAATGTCTCGTCTTTTAACGAATATTCAAGCCCTCTTTTCGCTAGAACAACTTTCATAGCTCTTTCAGTATTTGCCATTCAATATAATTTAATAGTAGTACGATTTAAAGCATCTTTAAACGTATAAAAACCCATTTTGTATACTATATTCTGATGAAAATCTTTGTTTTAAAAACAATGATTGTGAACGTGTGCCCGCGCGAATCTAGTAAGCGGAATAAACAAAAGCAATAAATGCGCATGCGCCATTTATCTCATTTTGGATAAAAAAAATTCGATTTCCCCAGAGCATGCCCAGAGTCATGCCACAACCTAACCCGCGAACAGGCATACTCTGGGAACGAGATTGCATGCATGTATTTTCTAGTAATCTTGTAATCTTGTAAACCGCAAAAGCGTGCAGCACGGTAGCATTTCGCGCGATGTGAGGCGTCTGTATATTTCGCCCGATGTGAGGCGTCTGTATTCGCAGGCTAGCAGCACGGGTCATTACCAGTTCGGGCTTGGAAGAATGATCTTCTAAAATCTTCCAAATGCTCAAATAGACAAAAATACAATCAATACTAAAAAAGCGAGAATTAGTGATGACATTTAATTTTAAAGCACTAGGGGTATGGCTCCAGAATATTTAACACAGATGTTTCATGTCTCTGTTAACCAAACTTACCAACTACGAAATAATCATCAAAAGCTTTATTCAAAACCTAAGACAAATTTTTAAAACGAAGCTTCTCCTATAGGGGAGCAGTTTTATGGAACCAAATTTTAATGAAAAAACTTCCAATAACAAAAATACCTGAAACTTCTATCAGTTCTTTCAAGAGACTAATCGATGGCTTGTATTTTTGATTGGGAGGTCCGTTCTGCCAAACCATACGTTTATGTAAATAGAGTATATTATGCATGATTATTTTTTTAGTTAATAATTTTAATATTTTTATGATAGTAAGTGTGCACGGCCCTTTGAAAAACAGACACCTGAAAGGCTACCATGAATAAATAAACTTAAATAAACTTAAAAGTGAATAAACTATAACGCCCGCGGAAGTTGTTGGGTTCATTACAGTAAGAAAGAAATCGATTAACGTAGATAAGTCGGTAATTATATATTTACTTTGAAACAAATGATAGCGATATTAATTTTATTTTATTACAACGACGTTTCGATGCTTCTTGCATCATTTTCAAGTTAAAAATAAGAATTATTCGTGTTTTGCTTTAATTATAACGGCACAGAGTATCCTTACTCTGTGATAACGGTCCGCGTGTTCGTGTCACGTAAACAAATAATTGCGCAAGCATGCAGAATTTTTACTAACTACTACCACAGAATAGGAAGTTATACCAGAAGCGTAACTCTAGTCGTTTCCCTTATTGTTTGACGTCCACGAAAATTTTAACTCGCTCACGTCAGGCCACGCCATCCTGGCTAGTACAGCCGGAAGTTTTTATCAGGATTTGGTAGGTACAAAGTGCCGGTTGTACTAGCCAGGATGGCGTGATTGATGACGAATCGCTTGTAAAAACGCGGACAAATATTTGCTCGAGTTACGCTTCTGGTATAACTTCCTATTCTGTGCTACTACCACAGAATACTACACAGAAGGCCATCTCCATTGTAAACAGCGAGTACCGTAAACAGAAGCAGTCCCCCCTGGAAATACTAAAAATGGCGAACGTCCAGGGGGGTGACTGCTTCTGTTTACGGTACTTGCTGAGTGACGAATCATGACGAATAAAGATAAAAAATCGGCCGATATTGTGCGAAGACAACTCACGGGTCTTGGATCGTTGATAGGTAAAGCTCTACGAGCGGTTTTCACAAGCAGAAAGGTTCACGATGATGTTAAAGTACAGGAACTGAAACTGTCCCTTGTGAATCATCAATACGTTGTTTACAAATTTAATTGTGATCTGTGCGATGCAGATTATGTTGGCTATAGGCTACTTGTCGACACCTACATCAACGCATTGATGAACACAAGCGATCAGTGCATGGAAGGAATCCATATGCGCGATAATCATGGAGAGAGCTCATCAAGTATTGAAAACTGCTTTTCGATTCTACGCAAGTGTCGAAGGACGTATGAGTGCCTTCTCTACGAGATGCTTTACATTAGGGAACTGAAACCATCTTTGAACACTCAGTCCGACTCGATACGTTCTAAGCTTTTTGCTTAATATTAATTTGTTAATCTTGTTTGTTGTGTTTGTCTTATGTGTAAACAGTTAAATGTTTTTATTGTTTGTTTTTAATATTTTAGTATTTCTATGTTTTAGTATAAACTAATTAATCCCACTGCTGTCGTTTCACTTACTCACATACCGTATTTACTCGTTTGAGCGCCGCGGCGCGTTCTTTAAATTTTCAGAGCTTCAGATGCGGCGCTAATTGGGGGGCGGCGCTCAATTGCAGGCGGCGCTCTTTAAAAAAATCTTTTAGTTGTGAATTATAACAAGAATTTTAACAATAAAATACACAAGTTCTAAATGTCTTTGTTACTAAATGTCTCCATTTGGACAATTTGACGGTGGAAAGTTTTTACACTGTTTATAGTGCGGCGCTCATTCAGTCTTCCCTGTAGTTGCAAAATTTTAATTGAAGGTTGCTTTTGACCAAGCACATGCTTTTTTAACCAAAAACAATCTTTTATCTGGCATACAGTCATGATTTAGACCCCTTCATTCCACGTTGACAGCTATCTTGATGCCACTGATAAATGGTACACAAATATGGATAGTGGGTTAATTAATGCTATCTTATTCATTGATTTGAAAAAGGCTTTTGATACCATTGATCATAACATATTTTACTACAGTAGTTAACTTGTTATGTCTTTAATAATAAAGCGATTGATCTTTTTAGAAACTATCTTTCTGATCGTACTCAAATAACAGTCATTTAGTTAAACAACATACGGTCTGATACTCGTAAAGTAACATGTGGTGTTCCTCAGGGGTCTATCCTGTGATATATTGCGCATGCGCTTTGGGGGTTTTAGGAACATGTGCGAGAGCGAAAAAGCAAAGGTTGTTATTCAGTTTTCTAAGGACATTAAAAGTTGAGTTTGAGTTGTATAACAATGCATTTCTGAGGATATAACAATTGGCGACGAGCATGGGAGTTCAATAAAGGATTCTGGTATATTTTCTTGCTGAACGAACGAGTTTAAAACAGTAATTTAGTGGATTTTAATTCTGTACGAGTACAATTTAATAGTATGTCTTCGACGCCATTATTCGGCGTTCTGGGGGAATTTGATCCGTCTACCGAGTTGTTTACTGCATATTCGGAGAGATTAGAGCAATATTTTATCGCTAATTCTATCGGGCAATGTCCTGCTGATGCTACACAAGAAGTACTTGCGGCTGCAGACAAGAAAAAAGTCGCGGTATTTATTTCAGTTATAGGAAAGAAATCTTATGCAACCCTTCGTGATTTGTGCAGTCCTGATTCACCGAAAGATAAAAGTTTTTCTGAGCTTTGTGAAATGTTACGTACTCATTACAAACCGAAACGTTTGGTTGTAGCTGAAACTTATAGATTTCATCGGTGTATTCAAGAAGAAAATGAAAATGTTTCTGATTACAGTGCACGTTTGCGACATTATGCTTCCACTTGTGACTTTGGCCAGTTCTTAAGTAACCTGAAGTTCAGGCCCTATCACAGAATAGGGCCTGACACAAAACCTATCTAAAGTGTGGGATTCCCGTCCACCTGGTGGACGGGAAATCTGATTGGTTGATCAGCATCATGAAGGATTTTGATTGGTTGCCAGTTCACATAAACAACAGTTTTAAAAATAGCTCGGTCAAGGCGAGAATTAATATAAAGGTCAAACGCACGTAACAAATTCCATTATCGATTTCTTCGAATTTCTTTTCTTTTATGCTTTATGGAAGAAAATAAATCAAACAAACAGTATTTTGAAAGGGCTTCATCAAAATCTTTGACGAATTTTGGACACACACGACGCTGAAAGAACAGCCAAACTAGTCCTGTATTCGAAAGCTTGTTGTTGACAGCCAAGATGTTCTGCCAACTTGCTTCGCCGGCAAAAGTCTTATTTTTAATATCAGGTCCTACCGGCGTTGTTTTCTGAGCTACATCGCCTTCTTCGTGGTATGATTGAGAATTTAATTGTTGCTGTTATTTAGCCCTTTAGTCGTTAGAGTATATCCGCGTCCAGCAAGTTGAGACCTTGAGAAAGCTTGGCAGTCAAGCCGTGCACAGAACTGACTAATTAAATCATTGTTTGCTGTTCTCCTGTTCGGTTAAATAGAGAAACTGACTCTTAATTATATAAAAGTACCTTGAATTTTTAAGTTTAATTAAAAAGTAAAATGCACACTCTGCGGATATGTTCATGAGAATATAAATTTTTTGTGTATTTAAACGAAATCTACAGCACTTGTCAATCATATTGCATGTTGTGTCTAAAAATAACATGTGGGCGTCCCACGGTCTAGACAGGTTTTGTGTCAGGCCCTATTTCAAATTAGGGCCTGAACTTCAGGTTAGTTCTTAAGAGGCAGTCTCTGTAAGAACCTCATGACCTCTTTGGATCAACAAATAGATTTCTCTCAAACTTTGTAGTTGAGATTGCCTTTATAAGGGTTGTTTCAAAAAGCATTTTGTTTTCAGTCTAATTGCATTTTGGCAAAGTTCCAGGGGGGTCAAGTTGAGGGCTAAAATTACGATTTTTGCTGTTCTCAATAGTGGATTTTTGCTGATTTTTAAACCTCTGTACATCAAACAAAAATAATCATAAAACTAAATCTTTCCAGACAATAGTAGCTTTATATGTCTTAAGTAACAAGGTATCTATAAATTTTTCAAATTTGTTTTCTAAATATAGAAATGACATCATTCATGATAGACTAAAATAGAAATTTCCAAGTTCCTTAAAAATGGGTGAAATAAAAACCCTAAAATTCAAAAGTTAGACTTGCTATGAATGTAATATTATTTGTATAGTGAGATTAAAGGTTGGTCTTACATAATATAAAATAAAATATTGCGGCCTGTAAATTTTGGAGGTACTACAGGCCAACAAAACATCAACATTTTCGACTTTCGGCAGTTTGGAGCAAATAAGAACGTTCATGTTTACTGTAAACTCTGCTTTGAAAGAGCAAAATTTTACATATTATTGGACCTAGAACAGTGATGAACATTCGTTTGACCTTTACTGTTGTCTAAAGTCTTTTAGGGAAAAGCACTGACACAGGCATTTCCGTTATGTATGGACGTAATGGACCGTATTGTATAAATAATAAACATTTTCTAGCTGAATATAATCAAGACAAGTTATACATTTGCATCATGTAAAGATGTCCGTTAGTCAACAAATTATCAAACATCGATTTATGTTGAAGATTTATTTAGAAAGTCAAGAGAAAACCTACCCCAATATAATTGATACAAAGTATGCCTCGATCATAGCCTTGTCATTCAATGACCCCGATTGTCAGTTGACTTATTATTTGACGTTCGTTAGCTGCCATTATTCTTTAGTGTTAATCACTTTCGATATCTTAATGATTATTGTAGACACAGTCTCGTATATAAATCGTGATTCTTCATCAACAGGCAATGCTAGTCAATTCCTCCATCGTTTAATTTTACTCGTTTTGTTATTGTTATGGCGGAAGCCGCTGACCAGCTAAATAATTCGGCTGTCAAAACACGTGCAACATGTCGAGAATTGTTTGCTTTCACACCGAAAATTTACCGCGAGACTATTTCCACAGGTGATTTTTGACTTTCTAATTTTTGTGAAAACACATGCAGGCTGAAATAAAAAATATATCTAAATTTTGTATAATTTTACGGTTTTGATATTAACTTGCTTTCATATAAACTTGCTTGCGTGTTGCGTTAATATATAAGTAACTTGTGAATTACGCCAACGTAACGAATTGAAAAAATTCAATGTCAAAATGCTGAAAGAAATCTGCAGCGAATTAGAAGTACATATATATATATATATATATGCAAAACTTTATTATTATTATTATTAAAGTAATATTTTAACAGCTTCCATCACATACGTGGTTTTCAGGGAGGTTCTGCAAATAAATTACAATATAGCTAATAGTAATACGTTATAATATATCTTTCTGAAGTATATGCACTAGGAAATTACGATGTAAAAATTAAAATAAGTCACTATTATAATCCAAAGTTCTTGATATGTTTAAAAGTTATAAGGAAATCCTTTTTTCAAATAGAATTGGGTAAATTGTTCCAATCCTTAAAAATGTAATATCTATTTTAATGAAAATCTCTATTTTAGTCTGTCTATATTTAGAAAATATATTTTAAAAAATTATAGATTCCTTGATACTTAGGACATACCAAGCTACTATTGCATGTGCGGGAGGATACAGGTTTATCATGATATTTGTTTGATGGAAGCAAAATTTTCCAAGGCTGTAAATATCTCTATCGTGCACAAACCCGCCCTGTACGTTTGACAGTCGAATTATTTGGCTGGTCAGCGGCCTCCGCCATAACAACAACAAAATCGAGTTATATAAACGATGGACTGATGGAGGAATTGACTAACATTGCCTGTTCGGACGAAGAATCAAGATTTATATACAAGACTGTGTCTACAATAATCATTAAGATATCGAAAGTGATTAACACTAAAGGATAATGGCAGCTAACGAACGTCAAATAATAAGTCAACTGACAATTTGGGTCATTAAATGACAAGGCTGTCGATCGAGGCATACTTTGTATCAATATAAATATATTGGGGTAGGTTTTCTCTTGACTTTTTAAATAAATCTTCAAAATAAATCGATGTTTGATAATTTGTTGACTAACCGACGTCTTTACATGATGCAAATGTATAACTTGTCTTGATTATATTCAGCTAGAAAATGTTTATTATTTATACAATACGGTCCATTACGTCCATAAATAACGGAAATGCCTGTGTCAGTGCTTTTCCCTAAAAGACTTTAGACAACAGTAAAGGTCAAACGAATGTTCATCACTGTTCTAGGTCCAATAATATGTAAAATTTTGCTCTTTCAAAGCAGAGTTTACAGTAAACATGAACGTTCTTATTTACTCCAAACTGCCGAAAGTCGAAAATGTTGATGTTTTGTTGGCCTGTAGTACCTCCAAAATTTACAGGCCGCAATATTTTATTTTATATTATGTAAGACCAACCTTTAATCTCACCATACAAATAATATTACATTCATAGCAAGTCTAACTTTTGAATTTTAGGGTTTTTATTTCACCCATTTTTAAGGAACTTGGAAATTTCTATTTTAGTCTATCATGAATGATGTCATTTCTATATTTAGAAAACAAATTTGAAAAATTTATAGATACTTTGTTACTTAAGACATATAAAGCTACTATTGTCTGGAAAGATTTAGTTTTATGATTATTTTTGTTTGATGTACAGAGGTTTAAAAATCAGCAAAAATCCACTATTGAGAAACAGCAAAAATCGTAATTTTAGCCCTCCACTTGACCCCCCTGGAACTTTGCCAAAATGCAATTAAACTGAAAACAACCCTTATAAAGGCAATCTCAACTACAAAGTTTGAGAGAAATCTATTTCTTGATCCAAAGAGGTCATGAGGTTCTTACAGAGACTGCCTCTTAAAACTGGACACACGGCAAGAATAGGAGAAATCGCCACTGAATGTGACGTGTTCCTTAAAATCACTCAGATGGATTGACAATCCAACGACCTGCGTGTCCAGTGAGATGGAGGGTTCATCAGCTGCCCGGACAGACTCATCAGGAGAAGAGACGTCGATTGCTACAGCATGACAAGAGGGGGCAGTAGAGGGCGACACGTAATCCCGCTATGGTGCTGCCCCATCAGTAACAGGGCCGTCTGTAGAAGCAGCGGCAGGCAAAAAAGAAGAAGGCTGAACAGGTGCCTGAGACACGACAGAACTCCTGCCAGTGGAGACAACCTCGGCCATAGTCCTCCCAGCCGTAGCACTCCCAGCCTTAGCACCACCCGACGCTGGAGGGCACAGGCGAGCAAAATGTCCAAAGGAACGACAGCCAAAACAAAACTTTGGTTGCCCACAATATTTAATTGAGCACTTAAAATTAGAAATAGTGATGTCTGGTGGAATGGGCTTTAGGAGTGACATAGACACTATGCGGGTGCCAGTGCATATGTTGGGGAACCCCCGAACTGTTAGGTGTTGCACACTGACTACCCGACCAAAAGGCATCAAAGAAGTTTTGATATATTCATCCGGCATGTGAATAGGGGCACGGTCAATAATGACCCTAATGAATTGTTCATACGCCGGGGTTGGGGTGATATTAACCCCACGAAAATCAAGACCATTGACCTATCTTATAGGAGAGAGAGGTGAATTCGATCCGATACTGATGATCAGGCAATGCCTGAACAGCAGAGATCCTCTCAGCCCCAATGGCCTTGATAAGTGATACCCTAACTTGGGGAACCGATTCCTTTGCAATCAGGCGCTTAGGAATTCGAAAGCAAGATGATGTTTGATTCCATTTTGCGGAATCTGTTCCAGTAAAGTTAGGGGATGACATAGTTAATGTTTAATTATATATACCTATTAAGGTGTATTAGTTAAAACCAATAATTAGGCCAACAGAGGTAACCCGCTGCGCCGAGTAAACACTAAAACTGACTGATCCTTAACAAAACAGGCAGTACAACCACGGAAGGCGACCACCATTTATAGAGAAGAAAGAAAAGCCTGATATATATATATATATATATATATATATATATATATATATATATATATATATATATATATATATATATATATATATATATATATATATATATATATATACTAATACACCAAAAGTACACAGACAACCGCAAAAAGCAAATGTGCCCAAAACCAAGCGATTGTACCAAAAGTGTACAAACAAGCGCAAAAAGGAAGCAAAAGTACCAAAAATAGCACCGAACAAAGGTTAAGTTAATATGCCCAACTAGCACAGAACCTAACAAAGAGTGATTGCTTAAAAACCTAAGACAATCACCAAAAACCCAGGTACAAACGACTACCCCCCCCCTAAACACGAAAGGAGCAGTGCCACAAACAGTGATTGAACCAATCGCTAACTACCCAGCAAAAGAAAGAAAACCAGGGAACGGACAAGAACAGCCCAAAGCTGCTGCCCGCATCAAGGCACAGACAAAGGCCAACAAAAGACAGCCTTCCTTTGAGTGATCCCCTAATTAGACCACTCGACAGGAAACAACCAGAAACACACTAGTCACCACTACCTAGTAAAACACTAAAAACACTGGTACAGGCGGCCTTAAGACTGTGCTGGATGCTGATCACCCAGTCCCACAGCCAGGAAAACTACTTGACTACGATCCGAAGACCGAGGCAAGCAGTCAAGAAGAAAAAAGAAGTGGAGTAGTCGCTACCTAGACACCTAACGAGTTAGGCTGGCCTGTCGGCCGGACGACAAGAACAAAGACGAGCGCGTGTCTGCACAAAGAACTGCAGCTAGTTGATAACCTTGACAGCAGAGTTATGGACCGTGTTACAAGCATAGATCCTCCACTGCAAGTGTGAAGAACCTGACACATGTAAGTACCTGCGTCAGGTAAGTATGCTGTTGTTTATGCCACTCACCTTATATACGCGATGATGATGAGACGCGATTGTGGTAGTTCGGGGGTTTCCCTCTTGTCTTGAAAGTCATGTGTCGCGATCTAGAGATGAAAAAGTATGTTAGTAAAATAAAAATGTAGTTGATTCGGTTCATAGTTGAATGAAAGCACGCTCACAAGGTGTAAAATATCGACATAGGATTATAATAAAGTGTTACAAGTCATATGATATGTATGTTATATATGCATGAGAAAGCCGTGACTATTGTTTTATAGTTTGATTTGTTTTTGAAATAAAAAAATGTTCTTCCCCGAGTGGGGAAGGGGCCGTACTCGGATGTAGTGCAATACCGAGACAACCTGTGGCCAGGGTGAAGCAAGCTTCAATCCCATGGCCGAAGTCCAAAAATCAGTTTAATATATGAGTTAGGCATTGCCTAACATATCAGATATTAAGCTGATAAGAACAGAGATTTTTTAATTATGAATAAAGAAAACCTATTTACATTGAGTGCCTTAACTATTTGAATGAGACCTATTCCTATACATCGATATCTAGTAGAGTGATAAACGACATAATTGATGTTCATTGTCTTACTAACTTTTTGTTCCCTATTTCTAGGTTGAAGGCTATTTTACGGTAAGTATTATAAAAGATAACTGTTTGTTTACTATATGATTATAGTTTAATGTTGAGGTACACCCATAAGATGTTCCACATAAATGTTTCGTGAGCCTTTAATTGCGTCCGCGCAGCATAATTTTCTAAATAAAGTTCTGTAGCTCTTATTCATGTATATTTCATCCAACACTTTCTCGTTACCGGAAAAACCAACCACCAAGAGGACCAACCACAAAACCGAATACTTCGGCTTGTAAGTTTAATGACCGAAAAGGTTTCGGCCAGGTAATTTGTATTTTTCTTCCTTTCTCGCAGCAGCCAATGATAGGGCACTGTCGTCGTTCTCAAATGGACACGTTACGTCAATGATCGTTACTTTCTTGTTGTCCGTTATAACTAATTCTGGGCGATTATTACCGGGGGCTCCTGGAACGACTTTGTCTACTGTGTACGAACCACGTTTAATCGCGTTTGAGAGTCTTTGCAGCACGCTGTCGTGTCTTTTAGTAATGGAGGGCATATTTGGTTGACAATGACAGATGATGTGTGCCAAGGTTTCCGTATTAACAGCACTATGGCAGTTACGACAGGAGGGAGAATTATTACTAGAGAAACTACTCTTTACGTCATTGGTGGGGAGGGTGTTTGTTCTAGCTCTATGAATAAAGCGCCAGTCACAGAAGCGCAAACCCGTACCATCAAAGCACCAGCTGTTCGTTGATGGAAAAGATGACGTTTGAAGACATCTGGCAACCTTGCCTTGATCGGGTAGACTCTTCAGTTTCATAGCATTATTTTGCAACGCAAAACGGTGAAGGTACGATACTACCCCTTTTTGACCTGAGAGGAATTAAAGTCATTGACAGAGATGGTGATATTTCCTGTTGCGGATTTCACTTTAATCTTTAGGGCCCTGGCTGAAATACGGCATCGGGACCATAACGTTTGGCTATTATTGCAATTACTGTGGTTCTTAAGATCCCCATTTAACGAGCCCGAGAGAAAATCATCAATTTCCTTGTTTGACGCTTCGCGACCAAAATAACGGGATACCACCGATGATAATTGACCTTTCGATACGTTACTAACAAATGGGTCTGATACCGACAGAATTTTAACCGTGTGAACAACTGTTTGAATATGTCGTTCCTCATATGGATCCTGTAATCCCAAGCTGCCAGCGGCTCTATCAGCAAAGAAATAATATTGCGTAGCACGTTTTGGGAGATTGCAAATTGAGCGGAGGACTTCAATCAGTTTTTTTCTGATAGTTACTAAGGGATAAATGTGTTACTGGACTTGTTCTAAGGGCATACGTTAGGCACGGTTGGACAAATGTTCTAATTGCATCTAGCTTTTGCCGGGGAGTTAGCAAGGAGTCTCGAATTTTTTCCAGATCTGAAATCAGTTTGGATGTAATGTTATTCATATCATTTGCGTCATATAGCAGACCAATGGGTACTCCAAGATATCTATACGATTCTTCCTTTGAAAGAACGGGAACCTCGCCACGTTGTACGGTAAAAACGGTATCACCTACACGAGATGGCTCTCTCTTGTTACAAGTTAGGGATAGCGAGGCACATTTGTCAGGTCGAAAGTTCAGGTTTAAGATGTCAGCTGCCGAGGAAACGTCATTTAACAGTGTTTGAAGACCATCGCGAGTTCTACTCATGAGAACAAGATCATCTGCGTAAGCCAAGACGGCTACCGGTTGACCGTGAAGTTGGTAAGGAATGTCCGAGTTTTCAGCGCATCTTGACTTAGCCTTTCGGATTAATAACTCTGTGGTGAGGTTGAATAAAATTGGGCTGACTGGGCATCCTTGCTTGACACCTGCATGTACTGGAATGGCATCGGTTTCCTCGTCTTTCCTCGTACGAACAACCGTTGTGGAATCAGTATAAATGTCTCTAATAAGACTGATGAGAGAGTCGGAGAATCCCATGTGCTTAATAAATGGCATCATGTGATATACTGCCGAACGTGTTACGTAAATCAAGCCACACGAAGAAACAGTTCTTTTGGTTTCTCTTGCAGTCTGCTACTAGTGATTGTGATGTAAATGAGTGTTCATGGCAACCTTCAGCGGGTTTCGCACTTTTTCGCTCACTGGAAATTAGCTCTTCTTTTATAGAGAATTTAGATATGCGGGATGACAGTATGATAGATAGATAGATAGATAGATTGTTTGTTTAATAAGATTAACACATAGCAGCCAATAAGGCTGAATTGCGTGCCAAATTTTACAAGAGAAATTATTAAAATAAGATATTCTATATTTACAAAAGTTTAAAATTACATTACAATTTATAATTCTATATTACAGAAGTTTAAAGTTACATTACAAATTAGCTATGAAACTAGTAAATTTCTAAAAAAATGTTAACCAGTCTAAAACTGAATATCAGAATCGATTGTCAGTTAATATTATTGATATGCCTTGCAGATGAAGGGAAAAAACTGTTTCTAAATCTGTTCGTTTTGGTCTGAGGAACAACAAAAGACCTCGAGTGTCTAAGGTCGTAATTTGGAAAGTATCTAGATGGTATATGATTATGCATATAAGCTACTGGTGTTGTGGTGATTTCATTAAACAGTTTCTCGCATGCATCCACATGCCTGTCACTTAATGGTTCAATGCCCGATTTTTGTAAACAATCCACATAACCTGTCAGTGGATAGATGATTGATAAAACACGCTTTTGAACCCGTTCCAGGGCATTAGATAAGTAGGAAGGAAGGGCGAAGTGGAAAACTTGACAGCTGAATTCCATGACTGGTCTGACGCAGGTAGTGTAAAAAATTATTATGTCAGCTTCAGGTACGTGAGCACGTTTCAACTGAATAATAAAATAAATGCGTTTGTTCGCCTTCTTAACTATGTTAGTTATGTTGGTTCCATTTTAGGTCTTTAGAAATTGTCAAACCTAGGATTCTTGCGTGGTTCACTGTCTCGATTTGGCCTGAGATGATCTTAAGGCGCGGAAATTCTTTCTCAGGTTTTGTAAAACTGATAACAAGTT